ATCAACAACATACTACTGAAACTAATAAACAGCTATACCAAAGTTGTAGGATACAGAGTTAATACACAAAAGCCAATCACTTTTTTTTTTGAGATAGAGTCTCACTCTGTTGCCCAGGCTGGAGTGCAGTGGTGCGATCTTGGCTCACTGCAACCTCTGCCTCCTAGGTTCATGCCATTCTCCTGCCTCAGCCTCCTGAGTAGCTGGAACTACAGGTGTCTGCCACCACGCCCAGCTAATTTCTTTTTTTTTTTTTTTTTTTTGTATTTTTAGTAGACACATGAGCCAGGATGGTCTCAATCTCCTGATCTCATGATCAGGCACCCACCACTATGCCCAGCTAATTTTTTTGTGTTTTTTTAGTAGAGATGGGGTTTCACCTTGTTAGCCAGGATGGTCTCTATCTCCTGACCTCATGATCTGCCTGCCTCGGCCTCCCAAAGTGCTGGGATTACAGGCGTGAGCACCATGCCCGGCCTGTTTCTTCTTATATGAGTTTTGGCAGACTGTGTCTTTCAGGAAATTGATCTATTAAACATAGATTACCAAATTTTTGGGCATAGATGCTTCATAGTATTCCTTTAATATCCTTTTGATGTCTGTGGGCTCTGTAGTGATGTTCCTCTTTCATTTCTGGTATTAGTAATTCATATCTTTTTTTTTTCTTTAATTAGGTTGGTCAGAGGCTTATCAATTTTACTGATATTTTCCAAGAACTGGCTTTTGGTTTTGCTGATTTTCTCTCTGATTTTTGGTTTTTAATTGCATCGATTTCTGCTCTAACTTTTATTATTTCTTTTCTTTTGCTTAGTTTGGAGTTAATTTGCCCTTCTTTTTGTAGTTTAATGAGGTGGAAGCTTAGATTATTAATTTTAGATATTTTTTCTTTTCTAATATATGCATTCAGTGCTATAAATTTTCCTCTAAGCAGTGCTTTTGCTGCATTCCACAAATTTTAATTCGCTGTATTTTTATTTTTATTTTGTTCACAGTATTTTTTGTGGCGGAGGTACAGGCTATCACTCTGTGGCTCAGGCTGGAGTGCAGTGGTGTGATCTCTCCTCACTACAATCTCCACCTCTGGGGCTCAAGTGATTCTTGTGCCTCCGCCTCCCCAGTAGCTGGGATTGCAAGCATGCACCACTGCACTTGGCTAATTTTTGTATTTTTAGTAGACACTAGGTTTCACCATGTTGGCCAGGCTGATCTGGAACTCCTGATCCCCCCACCTTCACCTCCCACAGTGCTGGGCCTATAGGCATAAGCGACCGCACCCAGCCTAGTTCACAGTATTTTAAAATTTCTCTTAAGAGTCCTTCTTTGACCCATTTGGTATTTGGAAGTGTGTTGTTTAACCTCCAATAATTTGGGGATTTTCTAGCTATCTTTCTATTATTGATATCCAGTTTAATTCCATTGTCATCTGAGACCATCGTATGATTTGTATGCTTGTACATTTGTTAAAGCATGTTTTATAGCCCAGAGTGTGGTTTATCTTGGTGAAGGCTCTGTGTGAGCTTAAGGAGAATGTGTATTCTGCTATTCTTGGGTGTTCTATCCATGTCATTTAGATCCAGCTGACTGATGGTGCTATTATTAAGTTCAACTATGTCCTTACTGATTTTCTGCGTGCCGGATCTGGATCTGTCCATTTCTTATAGAGGTCGTTGAAGTTTCCATCAAAAACAGTGAATTCATTTTTTTTTGTAGTTCTATCAGTTTTTGCATCACATATTTGCCACACTCTTATTAGGTGTATATACATTAGGGATTATTACGTCTTTTTGGAGAATTGACTTGTTTATCATTAGATTGGTCTGCTTTGTCTGAAATTATTACAGCTACTTCAGCTTTCTTTTTTGTTCTTTTTTTTTTTTTTTTTTTTTAGACAAAGTCTCACTCTGTCGCCGCCCAGCTTGGAATGCAGTGGCACCATCTCGGTTTTCACTGCAACCTCTGCCTCCCAAGTTCAAGCGATCCTCCCATGTCAGCCCCCCAAGTAGCCGGGACTACAGGCGCACAACACCATGCCTGCTTAATTTTTGTATTTTCAGTAGAGACAGGGTTTTGCCGTGTTGTCCAGGCTGGTCTCAAACTCCTGGCCTCAAGCGATCTGCCCATCTTGGCCTCCCGAAGTGCTGGGAGTATAGGCATGAGCCACCATGCCCAGCCAGTCTGCTTTCAAATAATACTGTATTGCTTATGCGTAGTACGAATATCTTACAATGACAAAATATTCCTAGTTCTTCTCTCCTGTCCCTTGTATCATTGCTGTCATCCCTTTCACTTGTATGTCAACTATAATTGCCTACACTGTTGCTGTTAATATTTTGAACAACCTGATGTCTTCTAGATCAAATAATAAGTAAAAGTTTTTATTTTATCTTTATTTATTCCTTCTCTAAAGCTCTTCCTTTCTTTATGTAAATCCAAATTTTGGACCTGTGTACTTTTCCTTCTCTCCAAAGGACTTCTTTTAACATTTCTTGCAAGCCAGGTGTACTGGCAACAAATTATCTAACTTGCTGTTTGTCTGATGAAAGTCTTTATTTCTCCCTCACTTTCGAAGTATAATTTCACAGGATACAAAATTCTCGGTGTATTTTTTTTTTCCTCTCTACACTTTAACTACTTCATTCCACTCTCTTCTTGTTTGCATGGCTTCTGAAAAGGCTGATGTTAAGTCTCACCTTTGTTCCTCTATAGGTAAGGTGTTATTTTTCCCTCTGGTTTCTTTCAAGGTGTGTTCTTTATCATTGATTTTCTGAAGTTAGAATGTATGATACCTAGGTGTAGTTTTCTCTTTTCTTTTCTTTTTTGCATGTAACCTACTTGTGTTCTATGAGCTTCCTGGATCTGTGTCTGACATTAATTTGAGGAAATTCTAAGTCATTATTACTTTAAATATGGTTTGTGTTCCTTTGTCTTTTTCTTCTCTTTCTGGTACTCTCATTATGCATGTTATAGCTTTTATAGATGTCCCACATTTCTTGGATATTCTGCTCTTTCCCCCACACTCCTCGGTCTTTTTTCCCCTTTGCTTCTTAGTTTTGGAAGTTTCTAGTGACATATTCTTAAGCTCAGCGATTCCTTCCTCAGCTGTGCCCTGTTTGCTAATGAGCCCATCAGAGGCATTCTTCATTTCTGTTACGGTGCTTTTTATCTCTAGCATTTTTTTTTTTTTTTTGATTCTCTTAGAATTTCCACCTCTCTGATTACATTACCCATCTGTTCTTACATTTGTCAACTTTTTCCAAGAGAGTTCTTGCATATTAATCACAGTTGTTTTAAATTTATAGCCTGATGATTCCAACATCCCTGCCATATAGGTGGGTCTGATTCTGATGCTTGCTCTATTTCTTCAAACTGTGCTTTTTGCCTTTTAATCTGCCTTGTATTTTTTGCTAAAAGGCTGGCATGCTGCACTGGGTAAAAGGAACTTTTACCTTTTACTCAGAGGTAAAGAGACCTTTAGTGATGTGCTGGGAAGGTGTGGTGGGAAGGGATGTGTTCTACAGTCCTATGATTAGATCTCAGTCTTTTAGTGAGCCTGGGCCCTGGGCTGTGAACGTCTTAGGTTTTCTTTCTCTTAGGTGGGACAGGACGGCTGAAGGGACTGGAGGTGGGTATTTCTCTTCCCCCAGTTTGATTAGGCTCTAATCAAATCCTAGTGGGCTAGGCCCTGGTAAAATAGTTTCTTTTGAAGGAAGGCCTTGTTAAAAAGCACAGAATGTCCTGGCATATTTTAAAATGATTACTTTCCCTGTTCCTGCAGGAAGCACGAGGGGACTTTCTCTTCTATTTTCACTGTGCGAACATAGTAAAGTTCCTGGAGGTAAAACTCACAAAAGTTTGGGGGTTCCCCTGTGACGAGGTGCCCTGTGATGAGGGCCCCCTGGGGCCTTGAACTCTCATATCTGTCCACAGTGAGTTTTTTTTTTTTTTTTTTTTTGAGACGGAGTCTTGCTCTGTCTCCCAGGCTGGAGTGCGGTGGCACGATCTCCACTCACTGCAAGCTCCGCCTCCCGGGTTCACGCCATTCTCCTGCCTCAGCCTCCCGTGTGGCTGGGACTACAGGCGCCACCGCGCCCGGCTAATTTTTGTATTTTTTTTGTTTGTTTGTTTGTTTGTTTTGTTTTTGAGACGGAGTCTCGCTCTGTAGCCCAGGCTGGAGTGCAGTGGCGCGATCTGGGCTCACTGTAAGCTCCGCCTCCCGGGTTCACGCCATTCTCCTGCCTCAGCCTCCCTAGAAGCTGGGACTACAGGCGCCCACCACCACGCCCGGCTAATTTTTTTGTATTTTTGGCAGAGACAGGGTTTCACCGTGTTCGCCAGGATGGTCTCGATCTCCTGACCTCGTGATCCGCCCATCTCGGCCTCCCAAAGTGCTGGGATTACAGGCGTGAGCCACCGCACCCGGCCCACAGTGAGTTTTAACCCATGTGTAGGTTCATGTAGCCACCACCATGTTCAGGACACAGAGCAGCTGGCCCTGCGACCGAGCTGGGACACATGGGAGCCTGCCTGGCCTGGGTCCGCAGGCAGCGCAGGACCTGGGTCCCGCAGGCAGCGCAGAGCCTGAGGTGCAGGGCCGGTGGGCTCCGCCCAGATGCGAGGAGCAAGTTGGGCGCATCCCTGCCTGCTCAGACCACCTCCCCGGGGCCAGCGCTGCATGTGGCCCCACGGATCCGGGGCCCGTCCCATCTAATTGGACCAGGGGTGGGGGTGGCCCTTCTGTGGTGGCCACTGGTCTTGGTCTCTTTTGTTCCATTTCCGGAGGAACCATCTGAAAGTTTCTGGGCCTGTGTTTCCCTGCTTAGGCGTTTGCAGTGGTTCCCTGAGTGAAGGCCAGGGTGAAACCCATCATCTTTGCAGCCCTCCCTCCACCTCCTCCTCTGCCCCTGCCCCTGCCCCTTCCCACCAAGGTTCAGAGCAGACAGGGCTCCCCTGACTCCTGCAGTTTCCCCAGGCATCCCGAGGCTCGGACAGACCCCTGCTGGTTGGGCTCTTACAACACTTAATTTTACCTCCATTTGGCACTGGTTTCACCCCCATGGCACTGTTTGGCAATGGCTCTTTCTCTCTCATGACAGTTTAAGCTAGGTGATACCAGGCATCTTGGCCACGCCTTCTTGCAACCCCATGACGCAGTTCGGGAGGAGCGGCTGGCAGTTCAGGAGTTAGTGTGTGTTCAGGAGCAAGGGCTCCAAGCACTGCATTCCTGAGGCTCCCTGCTGGTTCCACACCTTTGCTCTTGCGGTTACCTTAGATTCTATGCCCTTCCCTTCTCTTTTGCCTAAATCCTACCTGTCTTCTAGAGCTGGTTCAAGGCCAGCTTCCACCAGGGAGCCTACAGTGATTATTCCTTGGAATTCCCGCAGCCTTTCCTAGTCATCAACATTTCCTGGGGTGTGGAGTGCTTTCCTACAGACCAGGTATCCCAAAGGTTGGGCCCAGTCTCCCTTGCAGCAGGCATGCTGGTGGGAGGAAGGAGACAGTGCTGGGAGGGGAGGAGATCCTGAAACCCTGGGGAAGAGATTCGGGGTCAGACTCAGTTAGAAAGTGGGCACCTCTGCCCTGAGGGCAGGGGAAAGATATAGCATCAGGTGCAGGCTGATCCAGCAACTGCAGGGCTTTAATGTGGACTCTGGTGGCAGGAATGCAGGGGCTACGAGGGAATGTGGAGGAGCCCAAGGAAGGGGTGGCTTCCAGGCACTGCAGTGGGAGGCTGTGGGTTTGAGCTCAACCTTGGAAGGAGCCAGCACAGACTCAAGTTCTGATGATGTGACGGTGGTCAGACCAGCTGTCAGTGGTTGGGCTGATCATGGAGGCTGGTCCAAAGGCAGTCAGGCTGAGCAGGGTGCCCACAGACTGGGCCAGTAACCTCAGCAGGAGACGAGGAGGGGGTTGGCGAGCGCAGCTGCTGCAGAGGCTGGTGCGGAGGGCTGTCTCCTCAACAGCTGGCAGGCAGCCAAGGCTTGGTGCAGGGCATCCAGGATGGCTGCGGGGCTGGGCCTCCCCACTGGAGGGAAACAGCAGGCAGGGAGGGCAGGATCAGTCTGCTTGCCTTCACCCACAGAGCTACTATCCCTCCTTCCTGAGACCCAGCCACCCTTACCCCCTGTGCCCCTCCTCAGCCCTGCCCAGCTTCCTCGCTCTGTGGACCACCTCCCCCCGAGGACCCCGGAGAGGGGGCTTGGAGCACACAATTTCTGATCTCCTCCACAAGGGCAAGGACTGCTCAGGGCAGTGGGTGCACCTAAGCTCTGCCCAGTGGTGCCCGGGGAGGTCAGCGAGCAAAGGGCTTTTGGTTGCCCTGTCAGCCTGTGAAGCCCCGTGAGTCGGGAGCTCGGCCTGGCTGCACCAGGCATAAGCTGGCACTCCTGCCGTTCTGCTCCCTGAGCTTCGTGTAAACACCGGGTCCGCGTTACTGAGTGCTTAAGGGAGATGTCCCAGGCTTGGGCGCGGCCAGCACTTGACCCCTGTGCCTCAGTCTCTTCCTCTGTAGGAAGGGGATAACAACTCATTCCTTCTAGGGCCCTCATAAGGATTCAGGGGTTTAAAAACCCTTGGGGCACCTCCCCCGCATGTGGTTGCAGTGCTGCCGGTGGCGCCCACCCATCCCCTCACTGGGCTTCTGTCTGGCATTTCTGCCTGGGGCTTCTGTGCCTCTGCTCTTGCTAAAAGCCCCTTCAACTTTCTAAAGCATGCAGGACAGGAATAACATGATTGTTTTGTAGACAACATGCTAAGGATGAAGCACGCTGGAGTCTCCTCCTCAGGACACCCTCCAGCCACTGCCTGGGCTCTGAGAGACTGGGGTGCTCTCCTACCGTGGGTGGGGTCCTTGAAAGCGTCCAGCGTGCTCAGCAAAATCTTCCCCAGGGCTCTTTTCGATATGTTCTTAAAAAGAAATGGAGACAGGGCTGGATCAGACTGATTGCTGTGTCCCTGTTCAGCAGATGGGAACTGGTGTCTCCTAGGGGCTTCTGGGCAGCTCCCTGGGGACAGATCAAGCCCCTCCCCAACCCTCATCCCTTCCTGGCCCCCTACCCCTAGGCTGCCCACCCTGTGTTTCCCAGAGACTCTTGGAGGGTAAGTGGGGCAGTGGGCAGGATGCATGCCATCAAAGATCACGTACCTAAGGATTACCATCTGTGCCCTGGTAGACACTGGGAAATAACCCTAAGAGCATTTTTATGCATTTGCTCATTTGATCTTTGCAACAACATATTTTATTATGCCCATTTTAACCAGCAGAAAAAAGCAATACTGGGAAAGAAAGCGAAATTTGCCAAAGGCACCCAGCTGGGAGGTGGAGGGGCCGCATCATCTATCCTGAGGCTGCATGGCCCATGGCCTCTGCTGGGAACCACTGCCCTTGCCTGCCTGGGCTAGGACTGGCCTCTCGGGGCCCATCCCCAGGTCTCTGCTTGCCCAGGATATGGACACTGGGCTGGGCCTCAGCAGCTCCGGGGCCAGGCAGCCCGACGCACAGGGCACAGCCCACTTCAGAGCCCCACAGACCTGGGTCTTCCTTTCTTTCTAATCCTTATAGCCTTTCCCTTTCATTTTGCTGCATTGGATGGAACCTCTGCTTCGCATAAAAACAGTGATGACAGGCATTCTTGTCTTGAGTCTGATTTTAATTTTAATTTAATTTAATGATTTTTTTGAGGTAAGGTCTTACTCTGTCATCCAAGCTGGAGTGCAGCGGCACAATCTCAGCTCACTTCAACTTTTGCCTCCTGGACTTCAGCAATCCTCCCACCTCAGCCTCCCAAGTAGCTGGGACCACAGGCACACACCACCATGCCCAGCAAATTTTTTTTTTTTTTTGTAGAGATGGGAGATGGGGGTTTCACCATATTGGCCAGGCTGGCCTCAAACTCCTGAGCTCAAGCCATCCACCCACCTTGGCCTCCCAAAGTGCTGGGATTACAGGCATGCGCCACCACGCCCAGCCACATCTGATTTTAGGGGGATTCCTCTGAACACGTCACCAGTCAGTGTGAGATCTGCATGAAGTATTTGGTTGAGAGCCCTTATCTGGTGAAGGAAGAGCTCTACTATTCTTAATTTGCTGAGGAGTTTTATAATCAAAGGAGATTGAATTTTATTGACTTCCTTTTCTGCATCAATTGAGATGATCATCTGGTCTTTCTCCTTTAATCTGCAATGTGGTATATTTTGGTAATAGATTTTTTGATGTGGTATCATCCTTGAATTTCTAGGATAAGTCCAACTTGGTCATGTTGCATTTCTTTAAACACTGCCAGATTTGGTTTGCTAGTATTGTGTTTAATAATTTTGCGTCCATGTTTAAATGTCACGTTAGTTTATAATTTTCCTTTCTTGTCTTTCTTCTATTTATCCTCTTCTGGTTTTGAGAACAGAACCAGAAAATGATGCATACAAGAGTTTTATTAGCTTCTTAAAATGACCTGGGGAGACCCCCAACCCTATTTTTGGTTGGTTCCTCTGAGTCTCCATTTCTGCATCTGTAAAATGGGGTAACAGCTGCCTACTGTGAGGAGAGCCTAGAGCCTGGTGCCTGACACAGGTGGGGCTCCCTCTAAGAGCTCCTTTCCCTTCCCTGAGTGTGGCAGCTCCCGTGAGCCTACCAGGTCCCGGAGCCTCTGCAGGAGCTGCAGCACGTCCACCAGCTTCTCCTCCAGCAGGGACAGCCGCACCCTCTCAGTCTCCACCATCTGCAGCTCCAGCCTCAGGTGCTCATTCTCTTCCACCTTCTGCTGCAACTCTGCCTGGGGAGAGAAGGGGGCTCAGTGCTTACCTTGCTGGCCTCCCCCAGCCTTCCAGGTGACCGGATCAACTACTCCATCTCCCCGAGGCTGGTGCTGAGGCCCAGAGAAGCTGAGTGTGTGGCCTAGAGCCACACAGAGGGTTGGACTGATGTAAAAATTGTGTATTTTGTTTCCTACTCTAAGGACTCCATTCTCCCTTCGCTTCTCTGGTTTTGTTGTATTTTATTTTATTTTATTTTATTTATTTATTTATTTTATTTTTTTGAGACGGAGTCTCGCTCTGTCACCCAGGCTGGAGTGCAGTGGCCGGATCTCAGCTCACTACAAGCTCCGCCTCCTGGGTTTACGCCATTCTCCTGCCTCAGCCTCCCCAGTAGCTGGGACTACAGGCGCCCACCACCACGCCCAGCTAGTTTTTTGTATTTTTTAGTAGAGACGGGGTTTCACCGGGTTAGCCAGGATGGTCTCGATCTCCTGACCTCGTGATCCGCCCGTCTCAGCCTCCCAAAGTGCTGGGATTACAGGCTTGAGCCACCGCGCCCGGCCTTTTATTTTATTTTATTTTTAACAAATTAAGTTTGGTGGGAAGCAGCAGAAACCAATCTGGCTAGCTTACACAGAGAGGAAATTTACAGCAGGCTAGTGGGCAGATCCCAGAATGGACTGGCAGCTGGAGAACCTCAGGAATGGGACAGGGTTGAGACAGTGGGAGTGTCCCAAGCCTCTTATCCAAGAGCCACAGCTGAGAAGGACCCTCTCCAGCCATCCCCATCCCACAGCATGGAGAGTCCCAGGAGAGGGGCCTGGTTGGCCCACTCTGAGTTATGGGCCCACTCTTGGCCAGGGAGCCACCAAAACCATCAGTCGTACCCAGTAACACTAGGATGCCAGGCAGTCACAAAGTGCTTTGTGGCCCCTGCCTTCTAAAGCAAGCATGCCAGGCACGAGGCAGTCCCTTCCCTGGCACCAATGGAGGGAAAGAGAAGCAGTGGAAAGTGTGGTGTCCAAGGGCGCTCAGGGTCCACTCTGGGCTTGGGCAGGAGGAGGGAAGGCCCAGTGCCTCTGCTCTCTAGGGATGAGACTGGAAGGCCGGCTAATTTTAGGATCCTCCAAGCCCTGTTTCCTTGAAATGTTCTTAGAAAAGGAGTGGCTATGCCCTTCAGAACTTTGTGACTGCCAGTTTATTTCCTGATGGCCCACAGTACTGCACCCTCCCCAGCCACAAGGGCTACGACTTTCCTGAGGGGTGCCTGGGCAGGCAAGATCAAGGCCTCCAGGAAACCAAAGCGGTGGTGGAGAAAATGTAGAAACAACTTTCAACTTAGGAGACCTGCACAACACAAAAGAGTGCTAGAAACAGAGACAGCTGTGGCGCATGTTTGCTGAGCACTCACCACAAGTGTTCACCTGTTTGATACATGCAGTATAGTACGATTATTATGCCCATTTCACAGGTGAGGAAACAGAGGCACAGAAAAGTTGAGTAACTTTTCCAAGGTCACATAGGAAATGGAGTCAGGATTTGAATCCCGGCAGCCTGGCTCCAGCACATAACCGCCATGCTGTGCTACTTGGTGTTAGCAGCCTTCTCTGGGGAGTAAGTGAGGGATGCCCCTATCCCGGTGCAGGGATTCCACAAGCTGGAGGTGGTGCAGACCCGATCGCACTGGAAGGTTTAACTGCAGCCACACCAGCTTGCCCTGTAATGACATTCGACTTTGTTTCCTTTTGCACATTTCAGCAGAATATTTGCATAGTCCTGGTCTTTGTCCAATCTACTGCAGCACTCCAGGGCCTGCTACCTTCTGTCTTGGTCTCTGATTTCACGCACTAAGAGGCTGGAGCCCAAACAGGCCCCTCTGCTCCCTCCTGCCCCCAGTGACTCAACCCCTGGCCTCAGGGCGGACGGTGTGGCTGCCTTGGTTCAAGGGGGGCACACTGGCGTGGATGAGGCATGGGCTCCCAGCCCAGCCCATCTGACCTCTCTCAACCCGTTTCCTACCTCACCGGACTCCTTGAACATAAAGTAAGACAAAGCACATCAGCACCGAGCATGTGGTTCATGGGTCATACAAGTCAGCTGGTATCATTTTTAAAAAGTTATTTAAGGAACTAGGACTTTATCAGGCCATGCATAAGTAAAAAGCAGTACAGACTTAGAATTTCATATGTATAAATATAAAACTATGTCAAAACCAGTACGTAAAAGCACAGTGGGCAACAGCTTAGTGAAATGACAGCTTTCAGCAGCATTGCACACTTGGCTACTGTGGAATAGAGAAGTTCCTACAGAGTAGAGAGAATGAGAAATGCGAAGTGGTCTTATTGAAATGGAGACAGCTGGATGCCCGGCCTCCCTCCCCATCTTCTTGCTACCACACTCCCTTTCTTTTGGGAAACTGCCCCTCCTCCACTTCATCTGACTTTGGTGGCAATGCCAATCACTGAACCCGCCCCACCACCACAGGGATTGGCCCAGGGACGGGCACATGAGTGAGGTGGCCAATCGGAGTTCCTCCCTGAGATTTCGTGTATTAGGAGTGAGACTCATTTTCCTCTGAGGGCTTCCCAGGTGGGCTGATGGAAGTCTAGGGCTGTTAATGGTCCTGCCTTCCCTTCCCCCATCATATGAAGTAAGCCCTTTTGAAGCAGGGGAAAGCGAGACCACCTCCTACAGAAAAACACAGCAGACAGATGGAGACAATCTGGTCTGAGTCCCTGGACCCAGCTGTGCCTGAAGTCCAGATCATCGTCTTCTCAGCTGCATGTTCCAATAAATTCCTGTTTTGCAATCAAGCTAATTTGAGGTGGGATCCTTTAATTGGCAACCAAAAGATTTCTTCTTAAATTTAAATCAGAGGAAATCACCTCCCTCTGGGCCTTGGTTTACTCATTTGGGAATGGGGCACGAGACTTGGCTGCAATCCCTCAGACCCTTCCAGCTGTGAGATCCTCTAGAATAGCTCCAGCCTTTGATCTCTGGGACCTGCTGACCTCCTCCCCAGAGGTCCCCAGGGTCCTCCCACCGCAGCCCTGAGTCCTCAGCTGCTCCACCAGCATGGCAACGCAGGCCTCCAACTCCCCCAGGGTGCAGGCATGGTCGGCACCGCCGAAGTGACCAAAGTAAGTCATGAGCTTCTCCGCCGTCTGGTCATCACACCTGCAGCAAAGCAGAGGGCCCGCATTGCAGGGGCTGCTTCCCAGAGCCCACTCTGTCCAGCCTCGGAGAGGTGGTGCTGGTGTGGAGTCGACCTCCTAAAGCAAAGCCAGGCCACGGCACCTGCCTGCCCAGCACCCTCCCACAGCCCCCATCTCACTCTGAGGAAAAGCCAAAGGCTTCACCTGATCTGCTCCGTGAGCTCTCTGACCTTCCCTCCCACCCACCCACACTCATGCTGCTCCAGCCACAGTGGCCTCCTGGCGGTCCCTCCAACATGCCTCAGCGCCTCTGCACTTGCTCTTCCCTCTTCCTGGAATGCTCTTCCCCCAGCATCTGCATTGCTTATTCCCTCGTTTCCTTCAGGGCTCTGCTGAGAGAGGCATTCCCTGCATCTCCCTGCCCCGCCTCTGTCCCTGCCCCTGTGTGACCCCTCTTCCTCACGCCTGTCACACTCACTAGAGGATCCAAAAGAGGAGGCCACTGTCTGGTTTACTGCAATTTTCCCTGTCTCTCAGATTTTGCCTGGCAAGTAGTAGGTGCTTCATAAGTGCTTGCTGTTGACATGAAGAATTGGTGGTAACAACAACTCCAGAAAATCAACAGCATTTTACCATACAATAATAACTGTTGCCCCCACTAGCGTTCCCACCTCCTGTGCACCAGGCACCTGTTAGGATTGTGTATCTTTGACCTCAAATCCTCACACAGCCTCTGCCACACAAGTGTCACCATCCCATCTTAGAGACGAGAAGACTGAGGTTCGGAGAAGCCAGGTGATTTGTCCGAGGTGTCCCAGGTGTCCTGGGCCTGTCCTCGGTCCCCATGAGGGTGGAGGTGAGGATGAAACAGGGAGCCAGCACCGGCCTGGGGCCAGGCTGGAGAGCTGTGAAAATGGTGTGTGGCAAGGGGTGATGGGTTGGGAAGGGGTCTGAGAGGGACACTGGTGTCTGGGAGTGCCACAAGAGCTCCGGTGCAGGTGCTGGTGAGAAGGCACGAATGGGAATTCAAGCCAGCCACGAGCTGTACCCTGGAAGGTCATCCCACTTCATCCTCTACATACTGGTGGGCCTTCCCACCTCCCCCTGAGGGACAAGGGGACAGAGCCGCAGAGGGGCTGGGAGGTGGCTGAGCCAGGCTAACCAGCCTCCCGGGTGCTCCTGGCTTCCCTGGCCACCTCTGAGTGTGACAGCCTGAGGCCCACAGTGGCTGACCCTAGACGGGCCACACACCTGCCTCTGCAGCTGGAGAGCCGGGCCAGCAGTGTCTTGGCCTCAGCTGCCGGCATCTTCTGCTCCTCCCGCCACTTCTCCTCCTCCTCCTCCTCCTTGTCAGAGGCGGCCTGGCCCTCCACGGATCGGAACAGCTGCTCGTCCACTGCTGGGGAAGCACAGGATGTGGGGACGCAGGACAAAGGGTGGGGAACCAGGCATCCCTCCCCAGGTGGCAGCCCGAGGAGAGGGCTCTTGTGCCATGTCCCCTCTTTTTTTTTTTTTTTTTTTTTTTT